AGAGAAGTTGAAAAATTCTGCAGGTATTTTAACATTTTTGACTCTTTTTTATGAAAAAATGAATCTCTTAAGACTATAGTTGTCACACGTAATTATCCGCCGGTATGAACGATACAGTTGATCAAAGTTCACAATTCAACCTCTGGAAGTAACGGACCCAACCAACACTGGGACCCAACCGATTCCCACTCCCGCCATTGCGGCCATCTTCTGGCGGGACAAGCGGCGTCATGCTTTCTAGGATTATCCCTGGTCATGGCTATTGTAAAATATGTCTTTGTTGCCTTTACTACGCATATTACGCTTAATTTACTTATTGAATCACTAACAGACATGCAGTAGTATTTTCTTATATATGTTTTCGATGGCTTTTTCTGTTACCCAACACCATGGAAGCGTATCTGCCTGCACAGCGCAAGAAAGGACTTGGTTACGATAGTATATTACGCTACAGGGCTCCTGCCGCAGGGCAGATCTAAAACCTGGATAAATCCTGCATTCTTTTCCAAGTGACTGGCTCATGGCAGCTTTTTTTTTTTTTTTTTGTTTCTAACAACAAAGTGGATTCACCATGCATAAAAGAGTTCACACTGGAGAGAAACCTTACAAGTGCAGATTCTGTGAAAAATATTTTACGAAACAAAGTGCTTGCACTAATCATGAAAGAATTCACAAATTTGTGAGACGTTGCAAGCGTAGATACTGTGACAAATATTTTACAGATCAAAGTAGTTGCACTGGGCATGAAAAAATTCACCCAGGAGAGAAACCTTACAAGTGTAGATACTGCAACAAACATTTTGCACAAAAAAGTAATTGTGTCATGCATGAAAGAATCCACACAGGAGAAAAACCTTACAAGTGCAGATTCTGTGACAAATATTTTACTCAACAAAGTAGTTGCACCGCGCATGAAAAAAATCACACAGGAGAGAAACCTTACAAGTGTCGATACTGCGACAAATATTTTACAGCACAAAGAATTTGCACCATTCATGAAAGAATTCACAAAGGAGAGAAACCTTACAAGTGTAGATTCTGTGACAAATATTTTACACAAAAAGGTAATTGTGCTAGTCATGAAAGAATTCACACAGGAGAGAAACCTTACAAGTGCAGATTCTGTGACAAATATTTTACAGTACAAAGCAGTTGCACCAGTCATGAAAGAATTCATACAGAAGAGAGACCTTACAAGTGTAGCTTCTGTGGCAAATATTTTAAAGAACGTTGTGCTTGCATCCGTCATGAAAGAATTCATAATGGAGAGAGACCTTACAAGTGTAGATTCTGTGACAAATATTTTACACGACTAGGTGAGTGCTCCATTCATGAAAGAATTCACACAGGAGAGAAACCTTTCAAGTGTAGATTCTGTGGCAAATGTTTTACACAAAAAAGTGGTTGCACCTATCATGAAAGAATTCACACAGGAGAAAAACCTTACAAGTGTAGACTCTGTGACAAATATTTTACAGCACAAGGTAGTTGCTCCATTCATGAAAGAATTCACAGAGGAGAGAAACCTTACAAGTGTAGATTCTGTGACAAATATTTTACACGACTAAGTGATTGCTCCATTCATGAAAGAATTCACACAGGAGAGAAACCTTTCAAGTGTAGATTCTGTGGCAAATGTTTTACACAAAAAAAGGTTGCACCTATCATGAAAGAATTCACACAGGAGAGAAACCTTACAAGTGTAGGTTCTGTGACAAATATTTTAATGAACAAGGTAGGTGCACCAATCATGAAAGAATTCACACAGGAGAGAGACCTTACAAGTGTAGGTTCTGTGACAAATATTTTACACAACAAAGTATTCGTACTAAACATGAAAGAATTCACACAGGAGAGAAACCTTACAAGTGTAGATTCTGTGTCAAATGTTTTACACAAAAAAGTGATTGCACCAATCATGAAAGAATTCACACAGGAGAGAGACCTTACAAGTGTAGGTTCTGTGACAAATATTTTACACGACAAAGTAGTTGCACTAAACATGAAAGAATTCACACATGAGAGAAACTTTACAAGTGTATACCGTAACTCTGTGACATTTTTTTAGAGAACGTAGTGGTTGCACTATTCATGAAAGAATGCACAAGGGAGTGAGACCTTACAAGTTAAAATACCATAAAAATTATTTTACAGAACAAAGCAGTTGCGCCAGGCATTAATGAATTCACAAAGGACAGAACCCTTACAAAGGCAGATTTTTCCACAAATATTTTACAGATCAAAGTAGTTGCACCGAGCATAAAAGAATTTACAAAGTAGTGAGACCTAGTAACAAGTGTGAATTCTTTGACAATAATTTTCCAGATAAGATTGGTCACCATCTAGAAAGAATTTACACAGGAAAAAAAATTGCTTACATTTGTAGAATCTGTGATTAAATTAAGTTTCTTGTTAACAATATGAAGAACTTCAAAAGGTATACTTATTCAGAAAAAAATCCCTGCACCCCCCCTCCTTTTTTTTTTTTTTTTTTTTAAGATTGCTGGCTACAGACCCTTTTTTAGTTCTGAAAACCTTTAGAATCTGTAGACGATCATTCCTGATTGTCAGAGAGTTACATAATGCCAGGTCAGGTAGTAAAGCATTGTGTTGATTCATTTGATAAGATTTCTTAATTTTAATGTGAAAATATGAGAAGGAAGCACCAGTTAAGTAGAGTCCAACATTATAGAAGTAAACACTTAACAGGGACTTAACCTAGCATTAGATGCCCTGTAAAATGGGCAGTTAATTTTTTTTAATGGAACTGATATACTGGATTTTATATATACTAATATAATATATATTAATCAAGTAATAAATTGAATTCATATAACAAAAGAATATAAGGGACTGTTCACATGAAAAATCTTTTTTCTAAAAATATATTTGCGGTAACTTGTGATCACGGTCTGTGCCCTGAATACCCTGCAGGAAATATTTACTGGCAGCTCTGAGAATTAATTACAACTTCGGAAGAAACTGGTTCGCGCTGCTCGTAATTACGCCAAGGGGTATTCAGGGCACAGACCATGATCACAAGATACCGCAAATAGAATTTTGGAATTCACACAGGAGAGAGACCTTACAAGGGGTATTCAGGGCATAGGTTTTTCATGTGAAAGGTCCCTTATTATGTTGCTTTTAAAATACATTTAGCACATAATTGATGATAATAGAAATGTATATTGCAATTATTAAGTTATATACATTGATTACATATGCATATGTGCATCATTTTCAGTAATGAATTATTTATTTATTTAGATACTTTTTATTTATTATTATAATTTCGAGAAACTGGGAGCTGGAATATTAAAAGTTTATACATTTTATTGTAATAGCACATGTAACCTAGATAAATTCTAATTGTTTTAAGTGCAAATTTTCAAATTCTGAATTGCTTGGTGAACATTTTTGAAAAGTGAATGTCATAATAACATTCTGCTATAAAGAATATTTTATACCACTAAGTGTTATGCCTTCAGGTATTTCGTATGCAGTGGTATTTGGAAAAAGTTTATCAATACACTAGTCCCTGCATAACAATGGAATTGTGTTAGTGGTGCTGTAAATGATTGTGCTATTATGAATGTGGTATCCTTGTATATGCAAATGAGATTGTGTTAGAGGTGCTGTGATGGACGGTTTAGAACAATGTCTCAACTAGGCCAAATCCTAATTTCAAGAGGGGACCAGAAATCGAATGATGGGAGCGTCAGGACCCCCCCCCCCCCCCCCCCCCCCCCCCCCCGATCCCCGTCTAAATCCGCCACTGACCACCAGTCTCGTATCTATTTAATTTACAAACAGCGCATGCGTGCCCAGATGTCTACTACAGCACCTCTGAATACCATGGTAATATTGTATGCCGATTCCAAAGACGTGTTTATGCCGGCAAGGTTAAAAGTGACCCAATTCTCAGGTTTTGTTGTAAAAATATTTCCCTCTAAAACGTGTAGGCTAATATGTTTTATGATAATTTTTTTGCATTGTTGAGACATATATAAATATGAGGAATACCAGAGAACAACAGTGATGTAAGATGTCTCACCTGTAATGGCAAAGCCGGAAAGTCGGTTTCAAGTAAAACATACAGGGTTTATAATTGTTGAACATGGAAAAATAGTATAGAAAGAACTGAAACGTTTTGTTTTGTTTTTACTTTGTTGAATTGATTTATGGGGAGATAAGTTTGCCAAGAAAAAGTGTTTTAACAGTAAAAATAAAACAATTTCTAGAAATGTCGATGACTTAACGCTTTTCGTGCCGCCCATTAATTGCGTTAGTGGTGCCGTTATTGGATGTGTCGTAACGGATGTCGTAACGGATGTGTTGAAGATAGAGGTTAAAAAACATGCGTGCAGAACTAAAGGCCTACAGTGCGTGCAACTTCAAAATGTAAAATATGGTTATTTTCAATCTCTGTTAAAATTTAAGTTTTAAAAAAAATTTAACATTGATTTGTACTCCCAGATCAATTGCAGATGATGTCTGGCCTTTGTCTTTTAGGTATTTAACGTGTGGCACATGTATATTGAGGCCATTATAACGTAATTTTTTTAATTATTTCAAAGTACTGTCCATTTTGATCTTTAACAAAACCGTATTTCTATTTCTGTGTGATGGATATGTTTGAGGCTTTTGATGATGTGACGAAAATTACACAAAACATGTGATTTTAATCAGCTCATTAGTTCCAGAATATTGCCATAATGTAAATTATTATAATTATTATATAATATGATGTTTTCTGTTGTTAGACCAAAGCCAGTGTACCAAAATGTGCTGGTATCAATAAAGAGAAAATAATAATAATGAGAATATTGCTTATTTAATATTACACAGTGAGAAAAAGAAGTATGAAAGGAGAAAAGAAAGAATGAATAATACAACTTTGAATTCTCAGAAAGAGCGATTTTGATAATCTCTAAACACCTTCATATTGATTTTCATTCTCGAAGAAAACGTTTTACGCTCTCGTGAAATAAGTTACACCATATTTTTGTATTAAAAATCAAATGTTACAAATTCAGAAACGCATAACAGGTCACTAATTCTGGTCATCGTGTGATTTTGTTGAACTTGGGTCACAGTTATACACCACTGCATAGGACGTGATCGGAATTATCAAATAAAAAGAATGTGAAAAGTAGAATATGATCTGTAGTTAATGGCAAAACAGGACTTGCTGGCACTTGTTCACATTCTGAGGTTAGTCCCAGCGGTCACTATTTTTCTTGTCTTTTTCTTTGGGTCGCCATTTCAACTCGAGTAGAATTATGATTCTTTGACAAGAATAATAATAATCATAAAATGAAAGTTTTCATGTTTGACGTACACAACTACTATACAATTTATTTCCTGTAACAACAATGTAAATTTTTCTTTTTACAAACATTGTTCTTTCGCTTTTGGAAAGCACTGTAAACACAATAAATATTTATCAACATATTATTTGCAACTGAATTCTCTACGGCATTGGAATATCATGAATCTGTTATACTATTTCCGCTTGTACTGAAGCTGTAATATATCTCTGACAGTCTCAAAACATCTCAAACAGACAGTCTCATCAAACCCTTTTGAATTAAAACAAAATTCTCAAAAAAAAATAATAAAGAAAGAAAGAAAAGATTAATAGAATTTAAAAAAAATGCATATCTATGTTCACTTCGAATTTAAACAGATTGTTACACGAATGAAAGCGTCACTGTCCAAATTGCGTGGATATATTGCACAATATAGAGATTGCATCCGAGCCTTTCCGTATTCTTCTGCCACGCTCAGCGCATGCGTCATCGCTGTCCTACCGAGCGCAGTGACAGCTTCTTCCTTGTCGCGTGATCCGCCGTGCTTCGGACAACGCATTGACACTGAGTAGGGCCTTATTCCATAGAGAGCAAAGCTCTCCTGTGAGTTCTTTACAGGAAAAAAATATACAAATTATAACTTAAAACGTATTTTTACCAGCTGGATAAATGTCCCCATGAAAAGATATTGGCCTACAGGTATACAACGTACCCCAAGTGTATTAACCGTGTCAGAAACGTGCATCAGTTGTCTGTTAAGTTTTCTAGAACTACTTTAACGTACAATGTCACAGTGCACTTATATATTTGCTAATTATAAGGAATTAACGGTAGCGGTACGTTAAACTTTAGCAGATACTTTAATTAAGAATAACTAGTAGGCCTACTATCGGGCAGCGTCTAGGAACTTCAGATTCCAGCGCACTGATATTCTGTAAATCTTTGTCAATTTCTGGAAATATAGTGTTTTCAATCAACAGAAAACTAGCGAGGCATATCTGCCCTTATCATCTTGATCTTGTTATGCTGGCCACTTTACGAACCCTACGCACAATTCCATCCACGACTTAGAAACGTGACAACAAAAAATGAAAGAAAAAAGGATGTAGAATCCAGATCTAGCTCTCACATTTAACAACTATATCTGAGTAATATCAAAACTTTGTTTCAACATCAAACCCTGAAGCGTTATTCAGCAAATGGCATATCACATATTGTGATTCCTGTAAACATCTAGCAAAATAGAATATTTATGTTAGTGTAAAATATTCTTACGTATAAACTGCCATTTAACATTTTATTATCACTTATATTTCAAATCAAAATTCACGGTTTTAAACCATTCCGTAAAAGTGTTCTTTGACTTAATGTGGAAAATGTCCGTTTTTACAAATGCCATTTTTATATAAAATCTCCTATGACATGAACATTGTTAAGGATGGTTTAAAGACGCTGTCTCCCTCGTCCGTGAGTGCGGGACTCCCGAGACTGGCACTTCCGCTGTGGTCCTGCACATGCTCAATAGAGGTATTCTGAAGATCAGACAAAGATGGCGTTGAACTAATTTCCGATAACGGAGGTGACCGGGAATCTGTTGAAAGTTCTGTTAGAGACTGTTGGTTTTGCTCACCGTCTGTTTGTTTTTTGTCTGACATACTGGCTTCTTGTTTTAGCAGATTCCGCCTATATTTCGCCCGAGCATTTTGAAACCAGACCTGTAAGACAAAAAAAAAAAAAAAAGAAAATAAGTGCAGATTCGTTAATCAACGTCAAACTGAATAAACTCTTGCCGGCACTTCATTGGAAAAACAACACTTCGAATTTTTTCATCAAATGCGCAAATTCCGCTATACACCTACACAAACGATAATTACCTGTAAAACGCGCTTAGAAAGTCCAGTCTTTTGAGCGAGCTGCTTCAAATCTTTTGCATCCGGATTGTGGTTTAATGCAAAATATGATTTCATTGTCCGAAGCTGATGGTGCTTGAAGGATGTGCGCATGCGCTTTTGTCTGGGCGTACCCTGGGAGTAAGTTCCGTCTAAATGATGATCGCTGTCGTTGTCTCCCGAACTCATCCCTTTAAAAAGAAAAGGATCGAAATTATTTATACGCATAAAAATCACGATAACGAAAAAACGATATATTTAGATCTTTATTAACAAGAAATTTATGATAGGGATATCATTTAAGAAGAAAAAAGCAAGTACTAGTAATTTTTACATTGAAAAATATTTTCAACTTATCTTTGCTTTGTCTTGTGTCTTATAAAAGTACACCTAGCAAGCTCTAATAATGTTAAATGTGTCAATTGATATAAGGAGAAAGGCCATGTAATATAGATAAAAGACATAACTGTGTTTGAAAAACATACTAATACACAAACGCCACCACCACAAAAAAAAAAAAAAAAAAAAAAAAGAATTTGGATCAGCCCGTATAAATCTGACACCATTTAATATTGTTCAAGGATTGTCCACATTTCAACACATACAAATTAAGGTGTTATATGAAACTGTAGAACGGCAAGATTAACGAATACTGGAACAACCAAAAATAAAACACATCAAAAGGAAATGTAAGGGCGACCTGTTAAATTATACCAAGGCGACAAAGAGCACCAGCAACTGTTAAGGGAAAAAGACATTAAACGCCAAATTCTGTTGTTAATGGTTCGGAACACGCACGGTCTTTACACTTTGAACAACTGTCTCTTTTCCATCTAAAAAACAGAAATAGGGTTAACGTGGGGTGACTTTCTTCAGAGAACGCGGGTTTTCTCTTGATTATGTTCCTACGAGACTCATGGAGTTTATGCTTGTTAATGTGTCATATAATTACAAACTCGTTCAACTGTTGATGCTTTTCTTGGCCTGCTCCCATTAAAATAAATCATATTCAATGTTATTAATACATGTTAAATCTGTTAGCTTGTTAAATACAAATGCACTGTATATAAAATATTACCAGAGTTCTACTTGGATTGGGATATTCCAGCTCTTCTATAATGTGTTAATGTCTTGCTCAATCTTTGACATCTTTATCCTATTGTAAATTATGGTAAAATATTTTAATTTGCCAATGATCGACAGAAATACCCAACTTAACTAAGAACGCATTTATTGTTCTCTATACAACCCTTGTCCATAAACATCCAGGCGATCTTTCACCAATCAAATGGACAACGGACGTGCGTAGGTAAAGTGGACAAAGCCACGGGCTGAACGTGCTGCACTTTTATCAAATGTGACAGGCCTTAATTTTAAACGCTGGTCAAGGCAGTGGTCAGGCAGCTGGCGTCCACGCGTTATAACCACATTTAAGTTAGATTGACAGTAAGGTCCACCGTTGGGGGGCTACTGTTGGTCATACTGAAATGACCGCTACATCTCCATCAACGGCCACTATCGGTGGCCTTCCGGGCATTAATTTGCTCTAAATATTTCACCGAAAAGACGAATTAGAAAATGGCGTGATTAGTAACATAGAGATAGATGGGTGTGAAATTTATTATCAAAGTATATATTATGTATCATGATGTGCGTCTACTTTCCATCATAATAAGTTACTCTACTTAATCCTGCAAGCAAAATTCTATTTTTATAATTAACGAACAACAAGACTTGAATCGTTATTTTATAATCTGTGCTGTTGTCTTAACAACTTCGCATTCTTAGCATATATGCCAACCCTTCAGTAGGTCTTTTTTTTTTTTTTTTTTTTTGGGGGGGGGGGGGGGTTGTTAGCTGGAAACGTGTTTTATATCAGGCACGTTTTTATACACATTTTTATTCTTTCCACAAATACTCCACCTGTCAAAACCATATGCACGTCCACCTACTCGGTGGGAAATATTTTCTGACTTCTGGCGTTTTTTTCTTCTTCTTCTTGATCTTGAAGGGTATCTTTGAATATATGCAAAATGGCAGGCTTTGGAAAAGCAGACGACTTTTAACCTGTGGTGTCTGACGTGCTTTATGATCTTAAATTTCAAAATTCATAACCCAGAATACAAAGTGACAGATTCTCAAGCACGCTACCCTGAAACCTTTAACCTTATTCGGGAATTTAATCACTTAAATCCCGCAAACCGTGGCACAGAAACGATGCCTCAGGACTGAGGAACAGCTCTACTTAAATGTCTGCAAAACAAACGTGTGAGTCTGATGTCGTCTGCGTTTTTTTTTCCACTTGGAGGAGCAAGACCTCGCTTCTTCCTGATACCCATATAACCAAGTAAACATCTTGACATTAAACCCATAAGAAATGCATAAAATCTCAATATGGTCGAATCGAGAGAAACCCAATAGCTTTGATACGGTGCACCGAACAATCGGTGCTTTCAGAGGTTTGTTGTAAAAACACCATTCTTTTTGGCACGACATCCCACAAAAACAAAGACGGTCGGTTGCGGCGGTACCTCCCAATACCGAAACGCCTAATCACTTGCAGCTGAAGAAGTTAGAAAACTGGCGTATGTTGGATAATGATAACCAACTACATGGAACTTTTAAAAAAATCTATTTTATCATCTGATAAGAAACTTATGCAATAAACTCGATTTTTTTATGTCCGCCATAACACTTATTCTAACCGCCGAGTCTGACGTACTAAAACAATCTTAAAACTTCGTTTAACTAGAATTGCTATGATAAGATAGGCATGCGTTTTCTTGATTTACTTAAAAAGATAAGCGAGTGTCATATTAAATAGCTTAGTAAACGAAGGACGAGATCGACCATTTGATAATCGTTCTTTTTTCTTAAAAAAAAAAAAACAACCTCCGTTTATAGCATTTCCACGCAAGGGCTACTTAGTCGAACAATAAACCGAGAAAAAAAAATACGAGACAAATGCAAGGCAAAATCTCCATTGACGTGAAACATTCCGAACTATGCGAGAGGGGTGCATTGTCGACAAACCAGTAGTAATCTGATAGCGCGTTAACAACGCTGAAGACATTATTGTCACCTCTACCAACTGAAGTGTCACCCACGAGGACTTTTCGGTGAAATGACCCGTGACGACCCAGCACCCATTTACTACCTTAATGACTTTAACACGACCGAACATGGCATCCGTCCTTAAAGAAGAGAGCTATCTTGACTTGTTTATGATTTTAAAGGAATCTGTTAACGTTTATTTCATTGAATTATTGGGTAATTAAAGCCCATTAAGCACCGTAGTGAATTTTTTATGCTAAGAATTTCCGAATTTTGAAAGATTTTAATGCTTCAGTTATTGTGGTTGCACTTCTTTTTATTAACTTTGATATTTAAAAAGATGCCACATATCAGGCCTAATTAAGCTGCTTCGTTTCAAAAACAAATATCTACTACTCAGCCGAAGGAATGTTGAAAGGCAAATTGGACAAATCGCAGGCAGTAGGGCCATCGACTTTCTAAAAATCTACAGCATTAAAAGCTTTTTTCCGCATTCAGTCCAGGTTACGTAACGTCTCCTTTGCGACAGAAGAAATTCCGCTTTTAAGACTTAAGTTTAATTCAAATTAGGTCGGCGTGCACCGATTTCTTCTCAGTATTATCAATCTTTACCATGAAGGGAAAGCAATCGTTTGTGTTTTTAAATAACTGGACAGTAGAGTGCTATCAATTTGTAAATATGTGATTTATTCTGTTTTTTTTTTTTTTAATATTTCATATTTACTTGTTTCAATTCTTTTTTCGGCGAGTTTTGCAAAATAAAATCACAAATGTAAAGAAAATATATATGCAAGTTTTTAGAAAAGTTAACCACAAACTGTTGATATTCCGTACGATCGTGCTAAATCAGTAAATGAAATTAGAGTATTACCGAAATGGGTACGTTTTTTTTTTCATTTCATTCCATCACACATCAATCTAATATGTTTCTCGAGTTTACCACATTAGCTGGCATAGACAATCCCGTTGGTGGTGGGTGTACGGAAAGAGGCTTTCCACCCTACTGATGTAAATGGTGACAGTTCTTAATAAATATTAAAATTCTATTTTAACAGAAATATAGCAAGCAATGGGATGTTAATAAAAAGGCCATTGTTTAAATAACGTAAAAATATCGCTGTGAATGATCAGTACTATTATTCCGTTACCAGTGAATACTCTCCGATTGAGTTTTTTTTTTTTTTTTTTCAGTTTCCTTCAAGTACAAAGAAAAAGTACCTGAATAACACCAAATTATCAGGTTAAGATGCTAACCTTTACCTTGATCAGCCCAGAGAAGACCTGTCTGGTAAAAACGTCCACCGCGTTCAGACGTCTGGGAACACGTTTCGCGTGAAGGGTTAATGCAACCCGTGCAAAATCGGGAAGAAGCGGGCAACACGAGGCGACCAGGCAGCAAGAGATGTCACAACGAATTTCAACCTTTCTGATTCAGAGTTTACGCCATGTTATGCAAATCTATGTCCCCCCCGCCACTGCTAAATAATGTGCTCCTTGGAAACAAAGTACGAACGCTCTGCTGACGGTAATAAGAAATGCTGGCAAATCTTTTATCTCGATGAAAGTTTATCTTAAATATCTTTTATTTGTTTCGATATATTTCTTATTACCATTCGTAGACTATGAAACCAGCCTCTCTAGTCTCGTTTATTTTACAACCGCCCATCCACCGTGCCAGCACTAAGAATGCTGTTTTAAGTTTACATGTAAGGTATATAATAAGAAAATTGCCGTTTTTTTATATAAAACAATGCCACAACAGGGGTATTTATTTCAATATTGTCAAGAACTTCATAAAAACATTCTAAGTAATCCACGCTGCAGTAATGACACTCGAGCACAGAAAGCACAAAAAAAAAACAAAAAAAACGCGAGTGTGCTTCGTAATTGTGAACATTTTAGCGATATGACTTTTGTGAAAGATGAAAGATAACCTCCGCATCAGTTTTACAGCTGAACCACTTATTTGTTCGCAGTATCCTGCTGGTGAAAATGAATGGATAAACTTGCATAATTCACGAGTATGATTCGTGACGCAATTCCTCTTTGTCATCAACTAAACTGTAAGACGAACCTTCTTCGCGTTTCGCTCAAAAGGTCCTAGCAGGACACAAATCTTGCCATAGAAACATAATAA